ATTTGAGAAAATGACGTCATTTTCTCAAATTCTCAACCAAGACTTGGAACAAGGAAAATTAATGGCGGCCGTAAATTCTCGGAAATAAAGGTCCAAACGGCATGAGTTCTAATGTCCGTAATAGATTGAAATTTGGCAAGAAATCTAGGAAAGACCTATTGTGTGCGAAAATGTAAAAAAATGGGTATGGAGAATTTGATCATAGTGGCACTTTAAGGATGGAGAAGATTAGCACAGATTGCAAACGACGAACTTGAAAAACTTAAGCTAAACTTTTCAAGATGCGCAAACCGTGACGTAGCTCCTTTAATCCTGTTGTACTTCTTTTTTATTGTGTTTAGGTTTTCTTTTCTTCTCGGTCGAGTTCAAGCGGCCAGATATACTTCATGACGCTAAGCAAAACGTTTAAGAACTTTGGTTACTGACAGTGACACAAACTCACTTCGGCGAAGGAAGTAAAACTACAGGAAGATGAAAATGAGTGATAGAAGTACAGTGGAGAAGTGGTATCCATTGAGATATCCCGCTGAAGACAAAGCGAATCACTAGTATGTCCCTGATCTACCAGAAGCAACGCGCAGTTTTCGGGATGACCCTCGAGATGACCCTCGGGATTTCAAGAATGAACAAGCTAACGCCGATTTCTTTAGTGGCTGCTGTGGTACCGAATATTATACGTTGAACTTTTGTGATAAGATTAAGTCTCAAGTTAATGGTTACGTTGTAGTAACAAGTTTGGAGGGTTGAGCTTAATGATGGTCTGGTGAAGTAAAAAGAGATTGTGGCTTCCTTCGAGAGAAAGAATTTCTCCAAAAACGGCTTTGAAAGTGTGTTTGTGTACTCAACAAGTTATATCTGTATAAAACATTGCTTTTTTTATCCGTGTAAATAGTCTGCGTTTGATTGCTTTCTTACTGTGTGGCTTCACAGTTGATTAGGTAATTTATTTAGAACGCTTACTTACGTGTGATGTAAATGAAATTTTCGATCAGGGCAACAAGTGGCCGTGTTAAGGTGGCTCCCTAGAGTATTTACGAACACCCTCCTTATAGAGCGCGAGTTAGAAAAGGAAACTTAGTTAATTTCTCTTAAAGTTTTCCCTGGAGAGATTTACTAGTATGGTTGCTGTTAAAATAAAGCTTATTTTTTCGTTGTCAATTTGTGGATTAAGTCCGTTACCATGGCAACATCTCTAATGACAAGCAGATATATTCCTCATTTTGGTCTGAACTTCTTAATATTTATAATTTACTTCTGTGAAATTTTTTCATACTTTGCCACATCATGGAAATGATATTGCCTGACATTTTCAATTGGTAAAATGTCAAAGTTGTTCAGATGGTTTTTCCAATATTCTTTTATTTGTCATTAATAATAATAATAATCTTTATTGTGGAAACTTCTTCTAAATATATTAGATTAGCTCAGACAGATTTTAACAAAAATAGGGTATTTGATAGGAATTGTATGTGGTTACAACTGAGCCAAATTTAAAAAGAATTCACCGAAGGAAACGCGAGAAAATTCACTGTCAGTTTTGCTTTTTGTGCTCATGTTGACGTCGTAAAATCGAAAAACACTTACGTTTTCCTTTGAGCGCGCGCAGATTACTTGATTTTTCGTCCTATGCGCGCGTGCAATCGTAAAACTATTGGGAGCCACCTTAAATTGAACATGGGTCGAGACTGGGGTAGTTGTGTATAAGTCAGCGAGGCTGTGATGTAGAGAAATGTTTGAAATATAACTTTTATTTAGATTGTCAAAAACATACTATTCAAAAGCTGGTCTGTGTGTATCACAAGCCTATGTACTAACAATACGAGCGAAGAGTTTTAATCATGCTAAAACTGGACGAGAGCACAAATCGACGGAGACGGGGGTGGTGGGGCGTTGTTCGCACGAACGCTTGCTATGGAGGCTATTGTCTTGCAAGAACGACGTCTTTTTCAACCCCAACATAACCATGCAAATTCCCTTCACTAGCCGCCATACATTTTTCGTGGCACTATGTGGGAGAATTTAATTGTATATTGGGGATCAGTTCCTCGTTTCATGGTGTTAGTTGGCTGGTTACAGTTTTGTGTTGAAATAGCGCGCAATTTACTAGACTCATTTATTTACATCAAAAAGGTAGGCACCTCAAATAGATTGATAAATTGGATTACAAAGGCCGGCGTGTTTTCAACGACTCAAAACGAGCTGGTTTCACTACCGTAGCCGACCTTTCATGTACTAAGATCACAAACCGGTCTTATAGAACCGTTGAAAGCTCTTGCTAGTTCTTACATGTAAAAGTCACCCACACTCACCTCGGCATTTCCTAGAACTTTGGTCCACGCGTGCCGGAATACAGATTGCAAAACAACAAGTTGAGTCGAGAAAGATTTGACGAAAGTTTCAGCAGTAAGTGTGATAATTAACAAAACAGCTAGTAATTTTAGTTCCTTAATAACTGTGCATTCCTCTCATAGACGCCATGGCCTTTTCATGATAGCATTCAGTAGATGTAAGATTGCTGATGTACCATGTTTTCTAATAAAAGCAAACCTACAGTGACTGTCGTGTCACCATTGTTGTTTTTAATGTTGTGATGTTGGTACTCAGTTCTTGTGGGCCTCAGACCGCCAGCGAACCTCGTCCTCGTAACTCCAGCTTAACGTCTCTATTCCTACCACCTGGAAATGACACACTTTTCGCGAGGGCAGTTTCTTATGCTTAACCCCAGAAATGGGCCTCAGCGATACAAACAGCACATGATGCATACATTCATGTAAGCTACACATTTGAGACATTTATAAGATCACTGCAGATCTGTATGTCACTGAAAACTATTCAAGACCACGGGATTTTTGAACACTACTGTCATGTGTCCAACAAACTTTTTAGCAACGCCTGCGGGAGCGCTCGTCACGCAAAAACAGCGTCTGCGTAGGAGGTTAGCGTTAAACCTGATTAAATGTTTCTTTCCCCACTGTCTTCTCACCAACTTCTCCTGTAGAAAGATAAAATATCAAGTGTTCAACAGAGTAAAGAACAAATGAAGTACGCTATTCTTTGTATGGTAGGAATGCACTATTTCAGGACGTACCCTTGATTCGGACATCTTGGAGGTACCTTATTCAGGTGTGTATTTGAGACCGGGGGATTCTGGGCCTTGATATTTGCATTGCAAAAGATGCAGGACAAGCGAGTGTACCTGTCCCAGGAAATGTCAGCTGAGCAAGTCGTAGCTCAAATAAATAACTGGGACGCAGTATATAGTGGTACAACTCTGGTAATTCTGAGTTATCTGTGTTCTCAAAGAACTGGGAGTTCGAGCTGACCTAACCTGTTTTCTGTTGTCGCATAGAGGTCAGCTTTACGAAGACTTTTGCCGAGAGCGATGCTCGCAAACCATTCCGGAAGCATAAACAGTGATGAGAACGTCAGGGGTCGTTTGAATGAGCTGGAAGACACGGCAACGAGTTCCAGGTCTTCTTTTGCAGATATCTTTGACAGTACAAGCATTGAGGTGAGAAGTGAAATTATTTTCATAGAGATACAATCACTCACCACGGGCCCTGGCTTGAAAGAACAAAACAGTTGTATACTACAGGAACAGTGTACATGCATGTCGACGGATGTCGTGTGAATCTTGGGCATTAAAAAACCTTATTTTTAATTTATATAGCTAAAGGATATTAAAACACCTTCATTGGAACCATTGAAATTATTCTCTTAGCCTTGGAGGAAATTGTTTCTTCAGTTGTTCATTACTTAATATAATAATCTCTTCTTTAGAGGTTAAATTTTAATAGATAAGCTTAGCTCTTCTTGGTAGAAAATTGGTCGTGCAGTTAACTTGGTCTTGAAAGATATCCAACCCGGGGACCTGTGGAAGGCTCGTTCTACGTTTTACAGTACAGTTTTCAGACATTTATTGGTAGGGAAGTATAAATTGGAAATTTATAGTTTTGGCAGCAATATTATTTTAATTTTATCATTAGCTCAACCCATGATAACAGGAAGCGTTTTAAAAACATTTCGTCAACAACTTCAAGTTGACCTTGTCAGCCTGACCTTTTTAGAACTAAAAATTCTACAGCATGCGGCAAACTTAAAGCTGCAGAAAGCTGCAAGATTTGATCACCACACTGACAAAAACTAAAATCTGTTAGTGGGTGGATGAGAAGACTAAGTTGATGAATGGATCAAAACCACTTTCAGGTCACATAACCTGGTGTGATTAAACAAATTCGGCATCTCACTCCATTTAATATTCTAGTTAAAGTTTATAATAGCCTTGTTCAACCACATTTTGATCATTGCAATGTAGTGTGGGGAAAAACTGTTGGAAGGGCCTTTCTGAAAAACTCCAAAGGCTTCAAAATTGCACAACTTGCACCCTTATGTCTGCAAGCTATGATAGTAATTTGGATGATTTGTTCCGGGCACTGGGGTGGCCAAGACTCTACTATCAAAGATTGGAACAGAAGTCTGTCCTATTGTGTAAAACATTATGTGGTATGACTCCTGACTATCTGAGATCAAGATTCGTATATCATGACAATGTAAGTGCTTATCGTTTAAGGAATACTGAAAAAAAAAATTAGTTCTTCCACGACCTCAAACTGATTATCTTTAGAGAAGTTTTTGTACAGCGGAGCTCAGTTGTGGAACAACTTACCTACAGACCTAAGACAAACATCTTCATTGACTGATTTCAAATCTAAATTAAGTCTGATTGGGGTGTGCGGTCCGATTCCCATTTATGACCAAAATCTGTGATTTTCCCTAACCTATTTATCACCATACCAGAAATTTGATACCCTATTTATAACCATTGAGGCTGACACAGTTGCCCTAAACATAATTTTTGAAGGGCTTTTTTATGGTCTTATCAATACTGATGAAAAAGTAGCTTCTTGTAAACAACATACCCAATTCAAGACTAGAGTACAAAAACCATACCCTATTTAAGGCCAAAATTGATACCCTATTTATGACCAAAACAGCTGAAA